AAAGAAATCCATTATTTTTGCATGAAATTGAATGGAAAAATAATGGATTTCTTTTTACTACACCTAATATGTATATATGTGTAAGAAATTTAAATTTGTAGTTTGAAGAAAACAAAGTATAAATCTTTTATGTTTCTTTTTTTTATTCTGTCAACATGATCCTTTATATGGATTCAACTTTCAAAGATAAATCAAATCGTACTAATATTTCGTGTGTTTTGCTAATGGTATCAGTATTACGCAAGACACATAAAATTTGTTAGTACGAATCGGTTTATATTTGAAGATTGAATCCGTATAAAGTATCATGTTGAAAGAATAAAAAAAGAAAAAAGATTTTCACTTTGTTTTCTTTACCGATTGGCACCGGTTAATTGGATAGCAAGGTATTATACGCCTCTCGCAAGCGAAAAGAAGAAAACGAAGTGGCCTACCTGGCAGAATGAGGTGCGACTTTCAACTTCAGGTAACACGTGACGGAACCTGTTACCAAAGTACCGTGAATAAAGGTCCTGAAATTTATTGCTTGCTGTTATGCTTTCGATTTTCTACGGTTAACAACACTAATATTACGAACAAAATGGCCATAAAGACGCAAAGTTGACAAAGGGGACATCGATATTTTTCATTGATTGCGATATATTTTCCCAAATGAGAACTCAAATATAGGATATTTAAAAAATTGTCAATTTTATTCAAACTGTCTTCACATGCATGTAGGCACCGTTTTGTCTAAAGGATCTATTTTTATCATCGTATGTGTAGGATTATTCGAAATATTTCTGAATAGAAATAAATATAAAAAACAAGATGTTGATCAATACTTCATCATAGAGCATAGATTGCATACTTTTCACATAAATCCAAATGTGATTATTGATAAAGATGGCAGAAGTTAATGATTAAATGCTGATAATTAAATAAATCTGCAAAACTGCAGCTGTAGTTAACAAATGACACGCATGATCCAATTTGTTTTAGAAATTCTTTTGTAGTGTGTAAAAATAGCGAAGCGAGGTATTAAACTTTTTCACTAGCCTGCCTTTCCTGTCATTGTAAATTGAGTCAAGTCGCAAACAATGGAAGTATTGCGTTAATGCATTATTTGGCTCTACGCTCGGATGATATCGCCGTCAGTGAATTTTAAATTCAATCCCGGTCTCGTTCGAGCGCGGCCGTTCGATCTCCTGGTCGTGGACCGACGACCACGACCATCGTTGGGTTCCCTCGTAGGTGGACCTCGGCAAGTCTCGGGCAAACTCGGTTGCTCTCGGTAGACAGGCCTGCTCCGACCCCAGACGACCCATGGCGATGGTAGCACACAACTGGTTGTGGCTTTCACGAGGCAGGCACGCCGCGCGCTCTCGATGAGCGTTCCGCTTCGCTCGCACCATTCCGTGTTGCTGCACCGTTTCTGTCGATTTCGTTGTACGCGCGTCCCTCGACACGCATCGAAGAGCATTAGGCAAACGTTGAAGCAGCCTGGATCGCGCATTTCTCACGTGTGGGAGTGCCCCTGCGTCGGATATAACGCGCGTGCCGTGTACGAGCTGTCAAACGGGAGTCGGGACCGGCGCGTTTTCGCGCGGAATTGCACGCGGTCGAGAAAAAAGCCGTCACGTGCACAAGCGAAGTGGTGTGCCGGGGTGACTACCCCCGCGTCGCGGATTTGCATCGCGCGAAATATGAACGACGCGTGGGACAACTCGTAACGAGTGTTGTGCGGGCGTTCTCGCGTACAGTTGTAAATATATACACGAGTACAAACGTCACGTGGCGGCCAGGATGCTCTGGAGACTCGTGATATTGCTGTTCGTCATCGCGCGGCCAGCCGAGAGTTACTTCAATCTCTTCCTCAGCTTCGCGGAGGTTCACAGGCTACTGGGTAAGACGTTTTTGTTGATCTTTATAAGACTTGTAGGGCAATGGAGAGACGAGAGAGTAGGAGGCCGGTATTCGTTCAGCCGTTTCGCTGGTTATTGTCCTGCTACATTAACGAAGATCCGTGTAATTCTCCGATAAAGAAGTAATCGTTATGCTTGCTTTTTCTTTTATTGCTATTTATGTTTTTATATAGATTAACTGAATTGATTTATTGAGAGAAAAAATATGTAAATTGAAATATGAAATAAACAGATTTCTATGACGACATTAACTTGTCGATTTAATTCTATTGTACACGTTAAAGGCAATCAATTCGAAAAACCTACAAGACAATTTGAAAAAAAATTGCATTTGTCTAGTAAATAATATAAACCAATTGAGATTCACAATAAGCACATTTTTAATATTTAGATTTAATTTATAAAAGTTTAGAGAACGAGCATTAAGTATTCGAGCATTATGGAAAGCGATAATGAGAGAAGTTTCTTTGCGATATATGTGCTTATGCACGCAGTTTTCTTCGATGCATAACTTTAAACTTATCTCATGGAAGATAATAATATCTAACAAAAGAGCATAAAAAGAGAATCTTGCCATTGTCTGTCCTATTCAATATACTCTAAAGCGATATAAGATATCTAATAATGTTCAAATTTTATCGCACACAATTTACAAAGTCATATATTAATTTTAAAGCAATACGTGTGTATACGCATAAATTGTAATCATATACAAAAATATTATATTGAGCATTATTATTTCTTAAGCGGGTAAAAGTGAATCTTTCTTAAAGAGACTTTCTTTAAAGCTCAACTATTCTTCAAGGTTTTAAGAACAGAAAGTAATTGATTTATGAAAGCTATATTTTTCAAAATAACGTTTTAATGTAACGTTTTAATGAAGATACAAAGGTTAACCTCTGCAAACAAAGAAACTCAGACTTTTAAATTTCAAACGTATGAATAAACATAAAACAAAATGTTTATGCTTTAGACATAATTTATTTTTCAGTGTTGAATCGGTATTACATATCTTATTTTTCGCTTTGCGCTGTTTTGAACATCGTTTATATGTTTTAGCGTGTCTCTTTTGTGCGTTATATTTTTTATAATACAGCGAACAAAAATATGTTCCCATATTTTATAGAAAAGTAAAAAAAACACCGTATAAATGTTAATAAATTGTACGTCATATAAGGCATCTAATTTTATGGTCTGTGACACAATCCAGTCATAGAAGTAATGCAGCGTTAAAATACAGCTTTAAATAAAAATACCTATAATATTCGCAAAAGATCTATTCTATAAACCATACTGTCCATATCTCAATGAAGTCAGAACTACATTTTAGTTGAAGTATAACAGCATCAATTTCTTCCGAAGTTTTACGTGTTAATCGTATTCCTTCAACGAGAGCAAAACCTCGGACTTCATTCGTCCCTCATTTCTGTGCTGCACAGTAATAACTTCGGGTACAAAACCGGTATAATTTCAAGTATAAATCCGGTTAGGGACGACTTGAGAACAGGAAAATTGGCCGTCACGCATATCTCGTATCGGAATTCCCTTTTAAAGCGATCGTTTTCCACTTTGTGGTTATTCTCAACGTAGCACGCGTAATTATCAGATAGGGTTGTTAACGGCGTTTATTATCGATAGTGATTTAATTCGAACGAGCAGTTGCGGCAAACAAGACTGTTGTGATGAGGTAACTGGGTACAGGGGGATCCGCATCTTTTAAACCTCTGAGCATCTGTTATATCGAGACGTAGTCATCAAAAATCTATTTCAGATAAAACGATAAATGCTTGAAGCATACTGTAATTAAGTATTGGACATTAAATAATTGCTCGTCAGTAGCTTATATATCGCACCAAAGCTCTAAATTATTCATGAATAATTGTCATCACCGTACATGCAATTGTTTCATTAACCACGCATCGTAATTGAAGCATACCGCGCGTTGCAATGCATAATCAGCGAATATCAATAGCGGTGTGGTAGAGCGTTGAAATATTCGCCACGATATTATAGACTCGATGTATCAGACATTCTGAATTGTTGCAAGAGCATTCGAAGCTATTCATAGCCACAAACCATCTAACACCGACTGGAAGACGAACACAACCTTTCATTTGTCATCATTTTGCTTTTCCGTTACTGTCTCGCTTTCACAAGAAATTGATTTCATTGAACAAAACTAATTTCTCGTTTAATTCTTATTTTTAAAAATCCTATCGCAAATATACACAAGAGATTAATTTCAGCAATCTTGCCTATTATTACTTTTTAATTCATCATAACTCTGAATATATTTTTGTACTTTGCGACAAAATAATTATTCGAATTAAAAAACAAATATTAAAATTGTACGAATGTTGCATTTAGAAATATAAATTTTATTTTGAGGAAAAATGTATTGAATTTGAAGTAAAATTATACGAAAAATCCATAGATTTTATTAACGCTAAATATATTTTAGTCGAAAATCAGTGAGGAATTATGATGCGCGTTCAAGCTGTATGTAACAGAATTTTATATAATGCGCTTACTCAAAGAATAAATGTCGTACTCTCTTCTTCATATGCAGTAATCTTACATTACCATCCATTGAGCGCGATAAAGCCATTTCCTCTTCCGATCTGATCTATCCAGCTGTTCCATTCTCACGCTTTCAATCCTCTTTATCGCCATCGCACGTACTCATTGGCTTTCATTCGTGGGCCACGTTAGTCAAAAATCGTCGCGTAAAAAACGAATAAGGGCCACTAGAGACATGGCGACATGGGCTTTCCAATATTTCCTCGATAACTTCCACGACAGAGGGTAATTCGTTTTCGGACCGTTGGACCACGAAAAGCATTCGCTTCAATGCCTCTTATCGTGGGGTACGATAGGGATACAGAATGACGCGCGGGTCCTGCGACACCTGAACCCGTTCAGGACTGCCCTCGAGAGAAATGCGTTCGCGCGTGGGATTGCACGTTTCGCCTCTCGATCAGCATCTCGAGCACGTTTCGCACGCGTCAGAGTCATTGACTACATGCGGAAACACAATTTGAACCTCGACATGCAAGCTGTGTAAACGTGACGATTTGAGTTATAATACACGCGTCGTATTCCAGTCGAAAGAAAATTTTAATGAATAATATAAGAATTTATATATAATAAGCAATTTTTCAAAAAAACATCCTCCTTCCATTATAGAAAATGTATATAAAAATTTCGTTAGGCTAATGATAATATCTTTAAAATGTTGATTCGGAAAAAAACATGTTGAGTAAAGTTATATAATTGTAATATTGCGAGAGAGAAAAAGATTATTGTAATAGCAATAATATAAAACGAGTGATTATACGATGAGTTATATTGTTTCCACTTCAATAATTTATTACAACGCGAGAGAGGCGCGATCGTTGAACGTTTTAAATCACGCAAATGATGCGTTGTAATTAAAGATAAAGATTTATGGCTGCGCACAAAATTGCATGGTTGCAACTGGCCACACCGTTCATTGTAGCCGTGCATGCATATTAGTATCTGTCACAACAATCTCATTGACCTCATTGCAGCACAAACGTTCGGCAAACCATAATGTAATAAACTCTGCAGAATTAAATGATAAAATTATCAAGGTATCACCATACACGTTATAATTCGATTATATAATATTGCTATGTAAGTTATAATACAATTCAATAATTTAATAAATAATTTAAATCATCATAAACTTTCTTAAAACAAATATTTCCATTTAAATATTAAAGGATTCTTTCGCAAATTAAATTTCAAATAAAAATAATAAAGAAACTCAATTCAATTCTCAATCATTTCGATTATTTAACAATCTGTAAAATTAATTTGAAAAATTGTGTTATATGAATTTTATATGATATATAAAATAATAATAAAATATATGTATATGATATCGAGAGAAATATATAAATCTGTTACGAAACATTTCGCGTAACGAAACACGCATTTCTCGAACATTCGCTGTTATCAACGACGGATGTCGGGAAAAATAATTGCAATGCATTTAAATTCTCTGACGTAAGTTTTAATTGCACTACATGCAAATTCGTTTCTTAGATTATTCATAATTGAGTACGTTCGAAAGAGAAAGTTGCGCATTACGTGAACTATATATTTAAATTTTAAAGAATTTTTACGTAATTTGTCAAGCAATAAAAATTAAGAGACTATGTGAGATAACATCCTCAAAATATTTTTATTGTATCTCTATGTTTAAAGAATTCGTAAATTATAGATACATGTCGAAAGTGTGCAAATAGAATGCTCTGTAATGTCGACGCTAATAGAATCAACAAAGAAACATCGGCGCGATGTACCGATTTAATGTAAATAGATATTAATAGACGTTCTAGCCGGGTGGAGTTGCATTCTTTGAAGTTCACGCGTGGCGGTCAAATGCGATGTCTAAAACATGCATACCTACTCAGCCTAGTTGACTGAAACGACTCGAAATACACTCTCGTCAATATATGCAGATTCTACTGACAACGTGATAAGTCATTCTATCAGCGTTTTCAATCATGGCTTCATTGATCACGATGGGCCCCATCGAAGTCAATGTGTATATAGGTTCCCAATTCCTTCTACGAAACACAGCAGTAAATTTCTACGACTACATGACTACGCGAAAGCTACCTCGACCTCTCGTCCGCAGGAAACCTTGCGCGGCACAGCGTGGCATTATAATATACGAGAGGCGTAATAAAATATTATAACGAGGTCCTTGTTAAGCGACGGCGGCGTGGGGCGCTGCGCCATGCTTGCAGGACCGGCTCTAGTTTGTTTAGACACCGAATAATCGACAGTCATTCTTTTTCGTTTTGTTCTCAAGGGTCGCGCCCCTCTCTCTCTCTCTCTCTCTCTCTCTCTCTCTCTCTCCTCCTTTTCTTCCTTGATCCCTTCTCCGTTGCCTTTTTTCATACCTTCTCCTTTTTATCGCTTTCTCGTTTAGTCCCGAGTTCCAAGG